TAAACTTGTCCTGTTCCTTTATGTGCCAAAGTCTGAAAAAATATATAACACATTAAAATGAAATACAATTTCATTTAAGAAAGTTAATTAATAAATAATATGAGCGAACCTTTTCTTGCAAATCATCAATGCCAGTGAAAGATGTGATATATGAATGTGCATGTGTTCCACTTACAGGAATATTATAAAGTTTTCCTGCTAAAACATTACTTGTACCATCAAAACCACCTGGAAAATATTAATTTTTTTTAGAAGAAGGTAGAGGGAGATATTGGTTAAAATATATCTTCAGAATAATATATGTTATCGCTAATACATTAAAAAAAAAAAGAAATAGGCACATCTTAAATATTTGTTCATTATAATTAATTCAGAAAACAAGGGAAAGAACTTGTATTTAATACCATTCGTTGTTTCGTTCAATTTAATTTTGTTCTAGATATGAATTTTTCATAAAACGTGAAACAGCTATGTATATAAAAATATATTTAACTTACTTTAAACTATTATCTATCACCAATATGGTACAAACTGTTAAAGAATGATGCTGTTTGTTGATTGTTACTCAAGAAATTATAAAGCAAATGATGTTAAGAAGAAATATTATACATTTTATAAATGTATATGAATATTCTTACTGTATGCAATAAATAATGTAATAAAATGTAATGTAAAATATATAAAATAATGTAAAGTAAAATGTAATGTAATAAAATAATGTAATAATGTGATATGTTGAATAGTTTAAATATAATGTTTTATGATTTGAAAAGAAATGAACTTAACTGAGTACTACATTGAGATTTTAAAATAAAATAAAAGGAAATAAATATATAAGAAATATTTACCAATATAGCTATATTTAGAGGCACTTAAACCACCATCAGGACCCTGAGCTCTTCGAAGACCAAATTCTAGCAATGTTATATTTTTCCCAGCAACCATACGATATCTAGCTGCATTAGTTGCCATTAAACTTGCATAGTTAACTAATGTCAACAGTGTTGTTTCCAAAAGTTGTACCATTATTAATGGACCTTCTACTCTTAGTAATGGTATTCTGCATAACATATCAATTTGTATTGAGGTTTTAACTTATTAAGATTTGATGTTTCATCAAATATGTAATGTTGATAAGCATTGGAACATTAACTCTAACTGCTGTCATAAGAGCAAGAAAAAGTTTCCTAAACGATGATAATGATGATGATGATTAACATAACTGAATATTATTTGCATGATGCATGCAACTTTTAAGAAATTTTTAACTAACCTTGGAAAAACAACTGAACCTTCTTCCATAGCATATATTGTCACATCTTTTGGGGTCAGATCTTTCAAATATTCAAAAAACTTTTGATCAACTGACGATGGCATTGTTGACTTCAAGTACTTAATGTCTGTATAATTTAATATTAATTATAAATCTCAAAGGATTCTTTAAATGTAGAGATTTAAATAATAGATACATACCACTAGAGGAATAACGAAATTTTTCTAAAAATTTCATACATTCTTCTAGTCCAGCAAAGATTGTGAATTCGCCTTGGAAAGGATTTTTGCGAAAATATAAATCAAATACAGCATGATCATTCATTTTTTGACTTTTCCAATAAGCATATGCCATTGTAATCTGGTACAAGTCTAAAATTCAAAACGATGTAAACAAACATTATCTCATACATTATCTAAATAATATTCTGACATTTGCAACAACAAACTTTAATTTTAATTAGAGATTTATTACATTACAAAATAATATGTTATTTTTGTATTAAAATACAATTTCTTTTTATTAGCAAAATAATTAATTATATGCAGAGCAATCCTGTACAAAAAATATTTTTATCAATTGGAATTACATAAATTAAAGAAACAGTTCTATGATTAAGATACTGAGTTTTAATTCTGAAAGAAAATACAAGCGGAAGAATTTTCGCTATTCGTGTGTATCACACACTGAAACACCACGTGTTATATCATGACTTAATATATCTATTAAGTAAACGATAAGATAAAATAGATCTGCACGTTTTAAGGTTACTTCTTTTTAACATTGTTTTTTGCAATTATTAACAATTGTTAACAAATACAGAGGGCAAGTACCTGTTAAAAGTGGTTGTACGACACAATTTTGACGTGAATGACACCATGATTTATTCTCGTTATCTGACATTTTTCTTAAGAATTTTAGTGATTTAACTGAAGGTGTTAATGAAAGGAAAAAAAATTGTAAGATAGCTTTTTCTCTTGATAATAATGAATGTTACACCATTCACTGAACAACAACGGTCAAGCACTGTTACCGACGAACTAGCATGTTTCGACGGTGAACTCCGTATTATACGCTCCGCGTATTCTCAGAATCGATAGGAACGTTTGAAGGACGTTATGAACGACGCGACTTGTTATTCCGCCATTTCCACCAATAGTAAAGGCTCCTCTTAAGAAACTGCTAGAAATTAGGTTGCCACTTTAGTACTAGTACGTAAATGCGCAGAAAAAGAGTGATAAATTTTCTCTGTGCTATCATTAAATTCTTTCCCTTTTTTCTTCTATCCCCTCTTTTCATCGTGTGAATTACAATCAACCTATTCATCAAATATTTTGAACGAATCTTATTTTAGAAAACATAAAATTTGTCATCTGTGAATGATTTCATGTAACTTGATTTATATGTACCGCTAAATTATCATCATGGATCATGGATTAACAGTTAAGTAGCAATCTTAGATGTGTATCAGTTTAATATAAGTTGAATATACATACGTATTTGCACGGCCTGACTTACCGCTTTACGATACTACTGAAGTCAGTACAAATACGCTGCGACTATGATGTAACTTAATGTTAAATTACTATTAAAAGCCAAATATGTTTATTATGTACATTTTTAAATTTCCCATTGCTATACATATAAATCCATACAATTGTGTATATATCTTTATACAATGTTTAATGAAATTCATGAGAGATTCCAAGTTGTATGATTGAAAGCTATTAAAAAATATAACATTTGTTTCTATTTAATGATGATAGCAGTGCCCTCTTGAACTATAAGTAACCAACTAATAACATTAGTGAATTTACAAATTGCAAGTCGTAATTGTAGAATTCTATTGCAGACGTGCAGTTTTTACAATTATAGGAGTTAGAACTTTTATGTGTATTTTACAAGTGTTCATAGTAGAATGATTATTGTATGTTATAATTTAAGTAAGTGACTAAAGTTTGTTTATCTGTTATATAGCGTAAATTATATAATATATATTATATAAATAAAAATTGTATAAAATAAAATATAGAATAAAGTTTCAGTGAAAATTAAGATATAGTATGCATACAGTCCCAAATCAATTTTCTTGATTAGCTACAGCTTCATTAAAACAAAATTTATTATATATTGTCGATTCATTTCTTTATAAGGAAAAGAGGATCTTTGGTTGTATCACAATTCCAGGGATGCCTTGCATATACATAAGTATTTATAATATCTGCAATATAATATAATAGTTACAAGTTACAAATTACATTATATTACAGTTAACAGTGATATCTATATATCGACAAATACAAATGAAAAATGAGAAGTAATTTCTGTTTATGATTTAATCACGGCCATAATTCACTTTATAAATACTGTTCGATTCAAAAGAAAACATTTACAGATTATTATTTTATGCAATTTGTTTCGATAAAGGATTAATTTGTAAGTCAAATGAATTGCTATTTCTGACGCTCCTCAAGTTAACCAGACCAGATAAAATTGTGAAACAAATTGCAACATTCCCGTAGATAAGATTTTTTGGGTACGTCTTACTCGATTTGTATTGTATCATTTCTTTGTTTTGAAGATAGAACCGCGGTTAACGGTGTCATGCCACGAAAAGTACAATTATAGCACGAGACTTATGGCGATCGAGGCATCTTTCGATTAAACACAAACTTATCGTTAGGGGCAACATGTCCGTACACAACGACCTTGCCGTAATGATACAGCATTGCAGCTGTTCATTCTTCGATAACAAACTTTTTTTAAACATCGAAAATTAACGTGTAACTTTGGAACAAACGCCTCGATCGCGTGCACTATGATGCAACTTTAAACTTGGATTCCTTTCGTATCTATCAATTTAATTGCGCCTTAAGTTCCATCGCTACGATGTTAACCACAAGTTACAACATTGTTGCCGTCGCGATTTTCAGATGCATATGTACTTATATGCGTATATGTGTATACTTATAGAACAAGTCACAAGTTTCTTATCCATATTATTTCGACCAAACAACTTTAATATTTGCACTATGACAAATATCAAATAAAGATATCCTATCTTAACGAATTTATTTTAGCGTGTTTTATTGAGGGAAATAAATTTTTCTTTCAATAAATCGCAATAATTCCTTTCACATCTTTAAAATCTTGCAAAATCGTGATATACCGTGAATTACATTTTCGTAAGACGACCAAGAAGATTGACGCAAGGTTCTGGTAAATTAATCAAAAGTATACGTTCTCTACTGAATTGAGTAATTATTTAAAAAACATCTAAAAACATGTATCCAGTGGCACGATCACGGGAACAAGTATACTGTAAGAAGTAACATTTTTCGTCTGTTTCGACTGTATATTAAATATACTTTTATGACATTAATCTTTTATTATGCACGAGCTTTTTTGCTGACTCGAATAAGCAGGAAATCTTAACGACTGACTTATAAAGTTTATAAAGTTATCGAACTGTTCGACTTTTACGTGTTCATTCCGGCTCTGGATTGAAACCAAAGTAGATATATTTGAAGTGTTTGACTTCTTTAACTCGGTTAATTAAACTGAGCTAACATAGTTTGCATACGTCATATGATCGTTACTTCAGTTTCATCTTATCAGTGTAAACGTTTCAATTTGTTGACTTTAATTATTAATTTCTCTCTATCAGCGTTTACATTTCACATGAATTGTTCTTTATTAATCTGTTAATCTCAATAATCAGTGAAATGAGTTTCTCTTCGACGCTCGACGATCATTGACCAAAAAGAATCTTATTCGTTCGTTATTCTTACAGATTAGTGCATTTTATAATTGAAAGCGGATCGTCGTCGATTTTTTAGTTTTTAACTAATTAATACGCAGTAGAAAGAATAGTGATTAACGACGATTTAATTCGAACGCTGATTCGCGTCTTCTTCTGATCTCGTATTATATGTATACATATACATATGTATATATACAGTACAAAAGGCTAAAAGATCAGACTAACGAATGAAAGTGATTACGCGGCGAATATGTACCGGTTCTTACACGAATCTGACTAGAAAAAGGAAATTGAATTTTACCATTTCTGTACATTTGCCACGATTATGTAAGAATTCTATCGCGTTTCTATTAAGTTCCATTTCATTGAGCATGCGAAATGCAATAAATTCTAGAATATTTTCAGGGTAAAATACTACTAGCTTCTCTGAAATAACCAGCATTTCCCGACGCGACTGATTATTCATATACAATTATCATAATTTTTCATTGCAATGTGAAGTACAAGAACATAGATATCGTGTCCAGATATCGTTTAATATATAGATAAAGGAAGCGAATTTCCTCTTGTTACATGTAATACGGTAAATATGAAATACGGATAAATACGGAAAAAGGATAAGGAAATTTTACGTAGACAAGACAAGACGTTGAGATAAAATCTATGACAAAGAATGATTAATTTTTTATCAAGTTTTTGTTTCACCGAGTAGAACTGTAAAATTTCAAGTATTTTTACTGAATCGCGAAAAATCAATGATAAAGAATGCGTTTAATATATTCGAGTTCGCGTTCGTCCTGCTGGATGATTATTTGATGATTATATGAAATGAAAATGATAATTAAGCAAAGGATAGAACATAATGGAATGAAAGCGTAAACTTTTACTGCTGACCTTTTATACAATCATTTTATTATGTGTCACAATTGATATTATCGACAATTCATACCTCGAATCTACATATAATTATCCAATATTTGTCTGCCGGAATACACTACGTTAGTTCACTGCTTTACTGGCACTTCTGAGATATTGTTTTAATCGCTAATTTAAATGCTAATCGCCTCTGTGTTACGTGAACTTTAAAAAAATACTCAATTTTTGACTCCTTATAGCAAGAGTTGAGCAAATCTATTTAAAAATATAGCACTAATAACTAAGACAAGACTTTTATAATTAATGTTTTATAAATGAAATAATTAAATTATAATAATTATATTATATTAATTTTTATAAATAATATAATTAAATTTTATAATAACATGTTTTTATAATTAATTAACATAATACATAAGAATACACTGTTTAACATTGTCAACAACTATAACATAATCCGGAAGCAATGTATTTGGCAGTATTAGGGTTAAAACGAAATTCAGAAGGGAGAAAGATAATTTGCTCATCCCTGCTTCAAAAACTAGATGTAAAAATTGAGCCGTGAGAACGAGATTATCTCTTCATTTTTTTTCTATCAAAAATTGATTATTTTCGCGGGTATATAATTATCCAATAATCTTCGTCTACTTAACTACGTAACTGACAAGCGTCTGCAAAAAGGTAATTGCAAAATATACGATTGTATCTCTAAATAAGCTAGGGTGGCTGTTCGTCAAAGCTTCCGCATTATCAAATATTTTTTGTGTATAAAACGTGAGAAAATATTTTATCGAAACATTTATTTTTAAATACTTTTAAATATCATCTGATTTAAGAAATAATCTTAGAACCGAAGCTAAATACACGATGAAAAAGACCATTGAAATTTGTTTTAAATTGAATTCGATGTGTTAATTACAATACTATTCCATTCTTTCTTGGTCCATTTCATTTTCAGTATGGCGAAAGCTTGGCCACCCTACTACACTAATTTAGCAATGGTAGCACGCAGTTACACACGGTTTCTTCCGTCTGTAAGTACTACTTCTTAATTACGTGATCGTCGTACATTATTCTGTGACCGTCCATTATCAAACATCCGCTTTTTTTGGAGTATCTAGCACGTGTGCGATGTATACGATACATATGGAAGCAGAGGCTATAATCCTCTACATTTACATGACTTCTTCTCTAAAAACTCTTATCTAAAGTTTCCTAAAAGCTACTCAGACTTTAGTTAACATTTACTTTTCTTTAATCGTATATCTGTTTAAAAGAATAACATTATGATCGTTTGTAACGGTAGCTACAGCCTCTACATTATTCATTATACTTAATACTGTATTTTGAATAAACTAGACTCATCATCTTTCGTCACATACAGCCATTGATATTGTATACTAATCTCTTACATTTACGCAATTACTCTAATTTGACACAGAATTTCGTATACAGTCTTAACGTTACTTAATGATGATATTGTTCATGTATTGTGCTAAAAATATGCCTCGAACTACAAAATTTTCTACTTTTATTCCCTAAAGAAATGCTTCCTTTTCCGGTTCTTTTCTTTTTTCGCCTTTGGTCATTTTTTAATCATTTCATAAATATAAATACTTTATCAAATATCGTTAAACAGCTCTTTTTATATGGACAAAATAACACGTTCCTTTTTTTAGAACGTTCATCACCATTCAAATCCATTTACGTTATTCGCAAGAAAAAAATAAAATCGTTCCTTCGGTGACACAACAATCGTGAAATAAATATCAAATAATTTCAACGTCCAACCCTTTGTACCTTTTGTCTCTTGAAAATATACTAAGTACATGTTGCTTAAAAATATCACATACAATATACAGAGTACCCGTTCAAGGTTTCAAAAAATATTGTAAATTCCTTATTCGTATTTAAATATTAAAAAAAATTATATTTTGTCAAATTTAGACCAAATTTTGAGCGTACGGAAATAAGTAGTTACGTTACTATTATTATTTTGTTTTATATCTACAATATCCAATACATATATACTTAAACCCATCGGATATGACTGAATTTTCTAATATACCACCGATTTATAAAAAATCACAGTTATCTTACGTTTACTAAATTTTCTTTACTAGTCAATTTTTTACGCAAATTACGAGAGATACACTTTAATCTTAATTTTAAAGTTTAATACTTCATTGTGTTCATTACCGATGGGTTAATTTGTATTACATTGAAAATTATTTGAATAATACTGCTCTTCGACTGAATAATGTTCGACATTACGTCGTTAACGATGGGCATGTAAAATAAAATTTTACTTTATGTATAATTTTTTAACGATCGCATTGTCATAAAATCGTTTTTAAGAAATGGTAGCAAGGGTGGTCTATAACTTCTACCCTTAAATATGCAGAAGAAAATGTATACAAGTTAAATATTGATAAACGGTAAAAAATACGAATTTCTTATTTTAACTAGAAAGTTTAAAACCTATCGTTATTATCACTTGTACTATATATGAGTCAATAAATAATAATCACTAAATTCATCAACAACAATGGAAGTATTATCAAGTTTGATAACATCAATAAGTTAAAAAATTAAGAAAAATATATATTTGTTTCTATTTTATAATATGTAAAGAAGACCTAGTTACGCCATAAGAACAAACAACTAAGTGCTTGTCAATAACAATAAGTACCTAGTACTATGTTCAAACGACTCAATTAAAGTATACAAAAGTTCCGTTGCTCCTTGCGTTTTAGCACCATTAATATTCAAAATTAAAGCTCATGTTTCTCATTCCAATAGCTAATACACATGGATACGATAATATCGTAAAGTATTTTATTTTTCTAAAACCATTCTTCGTATTGGTTACCCATGGTTCATCTCATTAAATCTGCTGCTCTTTGTCTATCTCGATGTACTTCTCGAGGATGCATTCTTTTACGATGTGAGAAACAATTTCCAGAACTCGCGAAAGCTTTCGGACAATATGGACATTGATAAGGCCTTGCACCTGTATGTTGATTTATGTGAAACTTTAAATCTTGATTTCTTTTAAAGGTTTTATCACAAAGAGGACACGCGTGCGGCCTCAAATCCGAGTGCGTTATACTATGAGCTCGTAATGTAGAATTTGTTGGATAAACTCTCCCACATACATTGCATGGAAATTGTATTCCTCCATGGTACTCCTTGTGTCTGAATAAATTTGACTGTGTTTTAAAGCTGTAATGCAATAAACACTTTTATTAATAGTCACTTTATTGGATACTCAATCAAATTTAACTGAAGTACTCACATTCTACCACATATGTCACAACCATATTTTCCCTTAGGCCGATGAGTTTCCAAATGTACTTTTAGATTTCCTTTAGTAGAAATTTTTTTACTACAAATTGGACAGATAAAATTGCTTGATGAATTATTATCGGTATTCATATGAAGTACACCATTAGTAGAATACACTTGTTGGGATCTTAAAATAGGCTTCCCATCAAGTCGTTTATCTTTAGGCAAATGGGACCATAAATGATTTTGTAAACCAATTTGAGATATAAAGGATCGAGCACATATTGTACATTCATGAGGTTTAGTTGATACATTAGAAATAAGTTCTTCAGTATCTTCTTGTAATTTATCATTGCTCTCTTCTTTTGTTTCCTTTTTTATTTCATCAATTCTATAGGAGATAAATGCAATTGAGTAAATATATAATCATACATGTTAAGAAGATACTATACCATGTTTTGTTATGTTAATATAAATATTCTTACTTATTTGTTAATGGTAATGGTTCTGGGGAGTTTGTTTTTGTTATTATTTCTTCTGTATCAGATGCTTCTGAAGTTTCTGATGCTGAATTCTCCATACCATACTGTAAAAATAACATTGGGTCTACCTTGACTTCCATTTCTTCCATACTTGGAGTATGACATTTATCATCTTGTGACATTAATTCTGATGGTCCCAGTGGTTCGCCTTCAGCCAAAATTTCTATTGCCCCCTAGAAGATGATGGATGTTAAATAAATATCTACAAAATAAATTAAAGCATATAATGATTGTAATATACTTTTGTTAATATTGTATGTAATAATCCCCGGTCTTCTATCCTTCTTGTGTTTTGCACATCTTTAACACTTTCTCTTTCTACATCCTGTATATTTGTATCATCACTATTACTATATAACTGAGATTTTAACTTCTCCTGCGTTCTATATGCCATCATAGCAAAGCGATGAATACTTTCTAATCTTTTAATGCACGTAACACATACCATTTTTGATAATTTATCTTCAGAGGACACCTACAACACAATATAATTACAGTATTGATAATAAACTGATATAAGAATAAAAAGTACAAAAAATATGATATAGAAAAATAGTGATTAGAAATTAATGAAAGTATTAAAACTTATTGAAATAATAAGAAAAATCAACATTTTTAATATTTCATTATTTATTGAAAAAAAATCTTTAGACATTGAAAATGCAAGAAAATTTTTAATAAAAAATCGATTTTAAATTATTTGTAAAATTAATAAATTTTATTTACTTTATTATAAAACAAATGATGTGTGTTTTCTGGCAGTTTTTTTTTTTTATATGAAAAATAACCTGAATTTTATCTTAATAATTCATTTTGTTTATTTTAATCTTAAAAATGTTTTTTAATATTCAAATTTTATTAAATATTTCATTTACAATTTTTCTTTATCGGAAAATTACGCATTATTTATGAATTATTATATGAATAGAATTATATTTATAGATGCGCTAGTTATATAGTGCATATAGCATACTTATCGTAATCAATAAAATGCTAATTTTTAACACTTCTGTATTCCCATCAAAATGGATTCTTCCATTTTCCTAATTATGGATATTCGATTATTCCGAATGCAATGTATACACATCAGAATTATAATTACGTTAATTTTCACATTAATTTACATAAATACATAAAATATATCGTTTTGTTTAAAATTCATTTTTAAATACAGATGATTTTACAATACGATTTTTCATTAATCAACCGAATTAAATTGTAAACAATAATAAAATAATAATTTCTATGTGAGTTAATTACTTTACATGTACTATTTTTAATGTCTTATTTGCCAGAAAGGATGTATTTCGAACTTGTATCGATGCTGTGGCATTTTACAAAATTTCGAAGTTCTGTAACAGTTCTCAAATTTTTTGAGATAAATATACATGTATCTCTTGACATGTACTGAAAACAGGATACAGACGGGATTGAGCGCGAAACATCCGGCAACGGGGTACCAAGTGGAGTTTTCGAAAAAAAATCCGCACACATGTTAGGCCTACACACGAAACTGTATGTACATACATGTAGGCGCGCATACAGCGGCGATCGCGCTGATTTACACGGAGCGGAGAAAGACTTACCAAGATGTAGAGATATTTTCGTATTTTGGTCTGCAGGTAGTGCCGTCTACCATCCTCAGCGAAAATGTGGACCCCGTCGTTTCTTGGTATGTCACTAGCACAAATTCGGCAGTGGATCTCGTCCTCCCGATCGCGCTCGAAATCGCGACTCGCCGTACCCATTTCAAAAAGAAAGAAAAAAAAATATGACGAGATATCACCACGCTAAGGAAATATTTTTTTTTCTCACTAATTTATATGTACAAGCACGATTTAAAAATGATTTATGTTAAATGATTCACGCGGCCCCGTTTCACAATGTTAAATTCATTGCTTATTGCTTATTTTCCCTCCCTTTCGTTATCTTAGCACCGTGATGGAAAAACGTCGGAAACGTCCGATATAAAACTTTCAGCAATGCATCTTTACGACGTGCCAGCGTGTCTGAGAGGGTTGATTATTCTAACGATTTTTTTTACTTATGAGTCTCCCGGATTGGGTGAGATTACTCCAGCACAACGTTGACGCTTTAAAAACGACGTCGGCGCCGGGCGTCGGCGTCTCTCCCGAAACGAGTGCTCAATACAAAATATATAATAGCATTCGTCGATTTGAAAAACATATGTATATATCCAATTGTTTTATTTATGGATTCCGGTCGTATTAACCGATATTTGCTATTAGAATATTATAATGTATTTTATTATCATTCGATCGTTATTTAGGCAGGAATTAAAGATTTCACGTGGATCCATGAATTCGTATTTCTAAAATACTGCCCTTTGCTAGAAATAAAGAATAAAATGTATCAACGCGGTACTCTTAATTGGTCCGCCATCTTCTTTGATTCATTCGTTCGTATTTTTTATTTTCTTCGTCAATGATTCATCGGAGTTGTTTTATACTCTCCGCCTTTATAGAATTGTGAATTTATCTCACTAGAAATAGATCTCGATCGATATATTTCTTAGAAATTGCGCCACATCGATAAATTTAATGACAATTTTTCCAAACTTTCCCGCCATTTTTCTGAGCATGTATTACTACGCCTCATGGTAGAAGGGATGAATGTAGATGTTTTTGTCGCAGTGAAAAATAGTTCCAGGTACTTGCGAACGAACAGCCTCCCCCTTGATATGCTACGTCCCCATTTAAAAAAATCAATACTTAATAATTAGCAATTAATACACTTTCCAAGTATACATATACAACTGCTATCTTATTTTCTGCAGTTTTTAATGTACGTATGTGCTTTCTCCTTTTTTAATGCGTATGTGTTTTCTTCTTATTTATATCATTAACATTTAAATTATATAGTTTTATATGAAATTTCTGCAAAAGATTATATATTTTTTACTATGTTTCGTTATACATAAAGAAAATGTTATTTTTGATTAATATAGCAAAGTGTGATCTCTTAATTTTAGGAGAATTATGCTCTTAAGGTTAATAGATAAACGAATGTTTCGAACATAAGTTATTTTTATGAATTTATATCATTTGTCTCAGTAACAAAAATTAAATTTTGCTTCATACAAAAAATACAAGTAATTAACCAATTAACTCATACCTTTTATTGAATAAAAAATACAATTAAGGTGAATAATTGAATATAAACGGAATTATCGTATATACGCATTATCTCATCATTACTTAATAAACATATCTTTTAATATAATTTGTACTGTAATGTTTAACAGAAATATATATAAATCAAAAGTGAAATATATTTAATGAAACATGTTATTGTTGTAACATGGTAATTTGTTAATGTATTAAGCATATATTTATTAAATAAGTATGAACTATTAATAAAAATCACGAAATTGATTAATTTATAAATATTTGTTGTTTATTCTTGTTTCTTCTTAAACATTTTTGTAAAGTGTTAGGAAATTAGTACTAACTTAACATTTTGCCTTATTTTGAATTGGCAAAAATAATTTAAATTCTGCTGGTAATTCATCTTCAGAATATAATCTATCAGAAAAGTATACTCTTCGTATTCTACAGTTTGCATGGATTTGAACTCTTAATGTTTCCACATAATTTGTTCCATATGCACGTCTAGTAAAATCAGCTAAATTAAACTGAATCTGATTCCATCCATCATCCAGTCTCATTGGCATTGTACAAATAAATGGTTTTACTCTAGTTGTAGATTGATAATTACTAGCACGAAATCTACGGCGCACATTCTTGTCATCAATAACCTAAAGTCAAATATTTATGATCATTTGATATATTGTATTCTGTTACACACGATTAGTTAAATATTTTCTTACCTGGACTTCAAAAGTAAAATATTTCTTTAAATTCTTAATTATCATCACTAGAAATGGTAATTTTATACCTAAAGTTTTTCTGGGATCTGCTGGGCAAGTAATATATGTAGTACTAACATTACTGCCCAATATTTCCAATACTAAACTTTGTATATCATTATCTGTAATTCGTTTTATATGTCCGTTTCTTACTTTTTTATCCCAAATTTGTAATGGTTTGCTACCAATACTATACAATATTGATAAAAATCCACTTTGAAATGTATTTTTAAACATGTTCACTTGCTTATTTTTGTCTTTGTTAATTTAAAAAATAGTTCTTTCTACCGTGTTTCTTGTTTACAGACATGCATCAAGAGATCTCAATGAATTTTATGCTTTCGTTTTTATCTGTAACTTAACCTTTCATTTTATGACTTGAGGTTCACTAAAAAGTTACATGTTTTTAATAGATTTATTGTTAAAAGGTGATTTCCACATAATACTTAACATTATTCAATCAACAAAAGCATTTCTAGTTTAAATCGACATCTTCTTTGAGAAATTTGATTTGCTAAATAACTTTAGCGATAAACATAACCTATACCGTTTGTGTTTGATCAATGTTGCCGTTAAATTTACAGCTATATCGAAAATCGATCGATTATCTCGAATTTATCGATTTCAGTTGTTCGATATTGGCAATTTAAATTTAAAATATGGACGATGTACGATTGTACTTGTTAGAATTAAATTTCAGATGTATAAAACAAAAATATAATGCATTTCAAAGTTTTTACAGTCGTTTATTGATGTCAAATACAAACCGATAAAGTTTAAATAAGCAATAGATATCTACGTATTAGATGACCATTCTTTAAAAGAGAGTTAACGATTTTTCGCCATAAAAAACTTTATCAGTGTAAAATCTTTACTGCCATTATTTATTTCTTAGTCTTTTTCCCGTTCGATCATGCTTTTTCTTTGCTCGATATTACTGAAAATTACATTTTATAACTGTATTCTCTTAAGGAATAAATAAGAAAAAACAAAGTAACTGATTTATTTTAAGCGCAACTTTCATTTTCTATACCACAACATTAAAAACAATAAATCGCATAGTATGATCTTTTTTCCCATCATTAGGAAAGCATTCTTTTAACATAAACATATACAGCATTATCAGATTAAATTAACGGGTCGTTTAAACGTTTTTTTAATAGAAATTTTTGGATAATTCACTCACATTTTCAACTACTTTCATTGAAATAATTTCTTTAACTATCGGTACACAATTCACATAAACTTAATGTTTTAATTATACGAACATAAAATCGCTTTAATTGTTGAAAATACTAAATTGAAATTTTTGTGCATTTATTTATCAATAAGTTGGAACACAAAACGAAGTACGTATGTTTTTACGACATAATAATTTACAATTTAATAATAGTCAGGTATATAAATTTCCGTGCCAATAGTACAATTGTCCGATAGTTACAGATTTAAAAGGAAAGAGTTACTTGTAAAATAAGTATTTATGGTCTGCCCAACGAGATGAAAGAGTAGACACGAATAAAATGTGATTGCTGTGACTGGAATCACCACGTTTATGTCTACTCTCTTGTCTCGTTGAGCAAACTATAGATCGTCACCTTTTATTCTAATGCATCCACGTTTTCTCGGAATCACATTAATCGTTGTGTTCCATCGAGATACTTCCACTTCAGACATCTTAGTAATTAATACTTTATTCGCTTATTATTATGACTAACTATTGTATTACAGTTTACGCGGATAAAATAGGTCCTGCAACAGGGGTACATTTTCGTAGGATTCATGTTTCTCTTTTTCTTTCATTTTCTTACTTTTTTTACTGAAAAAACTATGCGAAAGAGGTTCACCACGACTCTTTTTCATTGTTTCTTTTATTTGGAACACTGAATCCCACGTGAAGAAGGAAGGCTCACCTATGAAGCGATATTTCAGAAAAAGGAACATTCATTAACTCGTCCTCGAGTGAGCTATAAATTATTCGGAAGGTATCGCGTTATGAATGGTTATCTGAAAGAATAAAATATTATAAATGATATAAGTAACCCTTCTTTCCTCTCATCTCCATGATACAGAGCGTATTACATATCGTGGAAAAGTAATCAATTGCTTTACTGAAATTTTACGATCATTTGTTTATGTTCTTTTTCCTTCCTTTTTGTTTAAGGGTTCATTAATATTTAAGAAATCTGTAGAATGATGGAGTGAGAATAATGAATATAAGATAAGTCTTCATAAGAGAATCATATAATAGTATTATTTTCTTTTGTTCTTATATAGATAGAACGAACTCTATTTCTCGACATTATCTTCATTCATTATTGGATATTCTTTATATCATGACCAATTTAGTATCGTTATAAGCTTCTGGCAATAAGACAAAATTCGACGACGTTGTCCCTTTAGCGTAGTCTCATCGGAATCTTGAATATAATTAAATCAAACATATTTTATTAATAACCATGATTCAACGAGACAAATTTTGAATTATTACCATTTTATCTATAATTTCCAATACATCCAGATTATCTTCCATTTTCGTTTTAGATAACGGATGTATGAAAATTTGAATGTCCTTTACTTCTCAATATCTTGTAAAACACGAATATAACCCCAGAGTGCTTCTAGGCCCCATAGAAAAGCAAATTGGGGCAATAATATGAATATATCACATTACCTTTCTTCAATTTTACAAATTCTAAAACAAAAACTCGGAGAACAATCGAATACGTTTAAAGAGTCCCCAACCAATTGTCAAACCTGTATCATCTTTGTATTATTTACCTGTGTGCAATCTTGTAAATCATTATAATTAAATTGATTTAATAAAGCATCCTTAAGCATTTGGTGAATATTACGATGATAAAAAACTGTTTTCTCAGTTGGAGACACTTAATACACATAATTCTTTTCAATTTCTTGCCGAATCTCATTTTGGAAAATGCGCTTCTTTTGTATTGATCACTATATATAATTTCAAAATTAATCATTATTAAGAATTTCATTTCGCTCAACAAAACATTGAGTTTTTTATACGAAATAAGACTAGTCTATTAAAGTTGCTTTACATCTATGTAAATGAATCTAAATGAAGATCATGAAATTGTTTCACTGATTTGTACGCGTTCATAGTAGGTAATAAGACATAAAAGACATTTTATTCGCGAGAATGAGAAAGCCAAGGATTAAATAAAGAAATTAGGAGATGGCCGCATTTCATCTCAGATTTCAATATTTTTCGCTTAATGTTTCTACAATGCTTTTATGATCACAAACCACGACTCTCTGGAAAATGACCATTTCATTTACGATGTTTAAACAGTTTATGTTTACTGATTGTGACCCTATCAATGAAATTGTTATAATAAATATAATAGAATCAATAATCACTGTTAAGATCACAATCTTGATCAAGCACCAATAACACCTCTTACTTCAAGACGTTATTATATGTTTAAGCGTAAAAAATATGATTTAAATTATATATATTCATTTACGCAATTGTAGATACAATTTCATCGTGCCATATTTATAATCGTTGCAGAAATCCATGAAAGGCTGCTGCAAACGATCAGTTGCCGCGAAAGAAAAGAAGAAAAAGGAGAAGAAAGAAGACTGTATTATTTATTGGTGCTTGAGCAATTTTTTGATGCGATTAAGGCACTGCAAAAGATTTGTCCTTCATAAAAAGCTACTGATCTTCAAAATCCGCGATCCGTTAAGTTAAAGAAGCAATGGCGTTATGTATGAAGATCGAGAGTCATCGGTGATTCAATATCGAAGTTACCGTGCAATAAGGCCCAAGAAAGATAGATCAAGAAGACTCATTCTCCCTCCGATTAGTTCATTCAACAACTGTAATATATGTAAATACATTAATAAAAATGGAACACATGATTAATAGTATATAAAAAATAATTTTTTTAAAGGAAAATATACACATAAAAACAACATACATACTAATAGGAATAAAAAATTGATGATATATAATAAAAAATATTAGAAACACACAATACTGGAAACAATGACTCTTACGCCTGTCTATTTAACAAATTAAAAAGAATTCAATCAAATCGTTATGAAAAATTTTATCATAGTATTTCAGAAGATTTAACATTAAGGTTTAATATTAATTTTTACTATTAATACTAAACCTATAATGAAATCACATATCTTTTAAGTTTTGTTTTCAGACATTTATATTGTTCTCATCAATGACTTTTTGAAATGTCCTTAAATTAATTTTCCTTTGCAATGCCTTAAAAGGGCAATGTAAATTAAGCTTATATGTAAATCTTAAATACTATATAACTACTTATCAATAGCTCCATCCATTATATTGTTTTTAACTTGAATACTAATATGTATTCCATCCCCAGACGCACCTTTTTCTTTTTTTGTTTGTGAGTTGGATGCATTATCAAGACCCAGCTTACTTAAAGTACATAGAGCTTTCAATGCTGCTTGATTACGGCTCGCAGTTCTTGTTGGCCCATTGCCATGACAAACTTGTGGTGGATCTGTACTTAATGTTACAAGTGATAGATATTCTTTGTTTACTGCTCCCTGAAAACAAAATTAATTATTAATTTGTTATTCCACATTATATACAACTACATGTATTATTTGCTAATATATATTTTAAATTATAGATGAAGATAGCTATATATACCTTTGGAAAATCGTTAAATTCCACGCTGAAATTAAATAACTGAGACAGATATTTCAATTGATCTTTGGGAGAAACAGTGGGTGGGTTTTGTTGCTGTTGTCCTCGTAGTTCTTCAGCAACAATTTGTACGCTAGGTCCACTGCCTAATTTAGATTCCTGACCTCCGTCTACTAATAAAAGTCCAGGTACTAACTGACGTCCAATAGTTCCTGATTAATGTAAAAATTTTTGAGGACACTTATGTATTATACCAAATAATGTGATTTTTAACTTTTAGTATTCATAATTTGTACATAATGGATGTTATAAAAATTGTTATTAAGTGTACATTATCGTACCTCCTACTGGTGGATGAGATTGAGTTTCATTGATCTGCTCATCTTCTAGGAAGGTAACTTTTCGAGGTTTTTGTTCAGCATTTTCACTTTCTCCTGTTTTAATCGATGGCTTCGTCGGTTGTGGTTGGGGCTTAGTGTAACCTAACTGTGTTAAAAGAGCTTCAGCCGCAGCTCTCTTAGCCAACTTTTTATTAGGACCGATTCCTTGAGCAGAATATTGTCCCATAGTAACCTCCATAACGAATTCTTTTCGCCTTGGAGCACCCTTTTCTTCAATCAGATTATAGACAGGTTCCTTCTCTCGTTTAGCTTGTTGTATCTGATCTAATCGCGAAACTGGATTTACTTCTTCTGCAGAGTCAGAGTCAGAACGTGGTTCTTGATAAACTTTTATAAGATTTCGCGACTTTTTCTTTGTTGCTGGTGGCTTGCGTTTCACGCGTACTAAACGATTTTGAATAGTTTCAGGCAATGGAGGTAGACGATTGAGTTCTTCTAACATGAACTCCGCTGCGTGTTTCTTCGATACCTATGCGTTGAATCGCAAATATATTATATATCATATGCTTTTTAGTTTAGTACAAAGAACCTATATAAAATATGTTATATTTTAAATACAAAAAGACTTACTTTCTTTGAAGGTCCTTCTCCTAATGTAACTTTATCTCCAACAGTACATTTCGTCCTGAATGTCCGAATATGAGGCTTACCAATTTCTGACACAACTTCAAAACTAACAGGTAAGCCACGTTTTAATGCTTTTTCGTGAACTAATGATACAGGGCTCTTCAATTCTGCAATCGGATCTTTAGCTTCACCTAATGTACCGTTTTCGCCACTGTTACAATTATTTGCTATTTCTTCTGGTAATGGCAATTGGCGCAATTGTTCTAAAGCTTTGCTTGCCGCATCATGTCGTGCTGCTTGACCTGTCAGACCTCTACCAATAAATTCACGTTCTCCTACCTATAAATTAATGTTTTGAATAAAATTTTGTATCCAGAAATACAATTATAATGATGTGTTTATTACTCTTTTACCTTCAAAGATACAAGATATAATTGAGGTTCTGTATGGAAACCTCGATTATATGTAGGAAAACGTGGATTAAATATTCGAGGAAAGTGTCCTAAACCGTTTGTAACATATTGTTGTAATCCTGCTGGTGGAGCTTGTCTAAAAGTATAGACAGTGGCTTCTCCTCTTTTCATAGCCAAAGCATTTAATTCAACAGTTGGTGGCAAATTTCCTATAATGGAGAGAAGAGTTTAAAACTTCATAATATTTACATTCTCTGAATATATTTTTTGTAATCAGTATACATATGGTATGCATTTACCAGGCCCGCCAAAACATTTCCCCGGGTGTCCAACTCTCATAGTCTTTGTAGGTTTTGGCGGAGGTCGTTGATACCACGTCTTCGTTAATGCTTCAGTAGCAGCACTGTGCTGAGCTTTTTTTATGCTAGGACCTTCAGCAACATATTCTTCTTCGCCCAACTTTAGCGTTACCGTAAATCGCTTTTTGTGCGCTGGTCCTTGTTCATTAGTCAACCTATATTGATGCTGAATTTTATTAAAACGTGCTAACTCATTCAATAAGCACATTGGTGTTTTTTCTTTCATGTTTGCCAAAGCTGAATCAGTCACATTAACGTGATTTTGAGTAGGTGGACTTTGATCTCTGGACTCTCCACTGTTTGTTTCATTTGTAGTTGGTTTATTTGATTCTATGCTTTGCGGTTGTTGAATGTGTTGCGGAGGCGGGGGATTTCGTTGATTATTTTGCGGTGGTGGATACTGTGGTGGTGGTACATTTGGATTTTGTAGAGTCACAGAAACAGTATTTGCTTGATCCTTTAGACTGACGCTAACCATGGTGCCTAAAAGAAGTGACCCATGTTAGTTAGCTTTCTAGTATTAAAAATAATTTACTAATGTATGATAACACGCTGTAATTTATTCAATGTACCATTCGCATTATGTGCATTCATGCCCATCAACATTGGTTGCCTTGGATTTCCATGTGGTGGTCCAGGATGTTGCATGTGATGAATGTGTTGTTGATGGGGGGGCATGGACAGTATTTGTTGATGTGGATTCCGATGCGGTAACGGATGCTGAGGCTGATGTAAAGGGGCCATATTTGCCTGCTGCATAGGACGCATCGGACCACCCATTCTAATAAAACATCAAATAGAATAAATATAAAAATTTAAGTATTTAGTATTTAGTGATCACTTCATATTTTATCATTATGAAATAAAAATATTTAAATATACATCATACTCCGGTATGAACTACAAAGAATTTTATATTATATTACAAACCTGTTATGATCTCGAAGTTGGTTTTGCATTGTGTGATGTTGGTGACGTAACATCATGTACAAAAATTATGCAAAACCTAAAATGAATAAAGATATTGAATAAAAAATATCGTATCAAATTCATTTAAAACAAAAGAGTTTAGGGTGATACCATCTTTTATTCTAAGATGACATATTTGTAATGATATTTCTTCTGCATTGACTATTCTAATATAAAGAATAAGTATTACTTCATCAATGTAAGTATTACACATAAACGGCATACTTTTGACTTTGTTATTTTAGGTAAACTAATATATTGTATGAAAATGACATTGTAATGTTAAAAACAATGAGTAATTCAGAGGTAATAGATATTTGACAGTAATTGTACATGTAAATCATATTACACATATTACGAGCTGTATTTAGAAAGATTCGTTTATAATTGATAGGCGTAACAGCGTTAATCGCGAGTAAGAAATTTCTGTTCTAATGAACTAGTCAATAGACAATGGGCTTGGCCCGGCTATTTGGCAGCGGAATTATGCGGTTGAATTTTCTTACCAAAGTTTATTCTATTTCACGAAAATTTTCAGATTATTCGACAGCGAAATTTCCGGCGAAACAGATCTGCCACTTAAGGGAACACTGCCAGGCCCTTTATGCGGCTATTGGCAAACAGTAAAGAAAAATCGTCTGTAGACTAAAATGCGGCCATTTTGATGTGAGCCTCTCGGTCACCGTCTCTCATCCCTTCCAATCATCCTACTTGCCGATTTTTTTAAAAGTCTCCAATATCGATTATACTTATCGATACTTCTCATTTCTTTAAATCATCAGTTATTAACAATAATTTTTCCATATTATTTATAAGAGTATTTTATAAACTGAGTATTTCGTTTAAATATAGTATTTAGTTACTAATATTCTTCAATATCAATAAAATATATTGTGTGTAACGTTGCATTGTAGATTCAAATTTTGAAACTGAAGTAACGGATGTAATCGACATTTACTTTGATATTATTGATTGAAATTTTATTAATTCTGTTGATAAACACGTGTACATATATTTGTACATTTATACTTAATTAAAATTTCAAGAAGAAATACCAAAGGTTTGATAATAAAGTCAGTTTCATATGTTAGTTAATTTTATGGAAAATAAATGTTTGATGTATAAATATTAATATTACAATATTATATATACTTTCTGTTATAAATATAATCAAGCCAACAATAGATGTTTATTAACTTTTTGTCACAACTTTGTGTTACAATATTTCAATATCAATGTGTTATTTATTAAATGAAATTGTTTAACGTGAATGTATATTTATCTGCCGCTATAAACTTTCGATGACTGCGCAATAAATTTTTATTCTTAAATAATACTAAAAGAAGTTATGTAATGTCTCCATTTATAAAATAAGATTGTTTATATAGATTGTGTATATAGATTATTTGACCAGTAATTGTTTACGTACAAGACACATTGACTTGATATAAATATCATCGGTATTATCGTCGAGCATAGATTTTCGGATTTTCTACTATTATTTTTATTATATAACTTTTATTTACATTCTGTATTTATATTAGAACAAATTTTAAAGCAAACTTGAAATAATATCAGTACGAAGTGTGGTAAACATAACCTATTCCAGTGTATATTAATCGTCTTTTTATTATTCAAGTATTTGATCATAAATTTTATGTGTAAATGAATAATTTTCGTAATTAATTTGAAACATTAGATGAAAATAACACACCATATAAAATGTTTTAATTATCTTTTAATTTATTTTTTAAGCTTATTTGCTATATTTCTCTTTTTAAATATAAACGTAAAAATGGAACAATCATTTCAATATAAGTTTTTTGATAGTAACCGTTAATATATGCTTATTTACAGTGGTATATGTACAATAACGCACATACTAATACATTAGATACAAGGATAACAACTGAATGTATTTTAAAGGAGACAATAAGAACACATATATAATATGGATATAATAAATTACAATTTGAATTGAACTTAGAAGTAAATTGAAGATATTTTGCTGATAAAATCATTATCTTAATTTAATGGACTGTAGGGCATAAAAAATTGTAAACACTAATATTTTTCTAGTCTTTTCCTTCAAAGTATATAATTTAGTCCTTTTTAATGTGCAAAAGTATTAAATTTATAATTTTTCATTTTCTAAAATGATTTTTACATATTTGAATTATAAAATTCACTTTCATGAAAAAAATTACAAACGAACACTTTTTTTTATAAACTTATAAGATGCATTATCTTAATCAAAATAGTACAAAGTATTTTCCTATATTTTTGACATTTTTTATAACCATCTTCAATTAATCTGCTTGAATAAACATTAATACATTAAAAAGTACAATTTCTATAACAAAAATTTTGTAATCGTATTACTTATCCCATCATAGTTTTTCTTATCATCTATTAATTCATTATAGAATCGCACTTTGTGTTATATTCATTCAACTTTCTTATTAATTTCTCTTTGGAGCCAATAAGCGTCTAGCATCATTGTCTTCAAGACTCAGCTAAGCTCCATTATTATAAAATAATTTATTAAACATTTAACGGTTTCAATTAATAAATACTATTTGATATACAATTTCACTACTAAATTTACAAAGAGCAGAATATAATGTTCCTGTAAAAAAGTTCAGATTGATTATCTTACTTAAAAAATATTCCTTAAATATAAAAGGGCAATATATATGTCTATTATTATAATCTTTATATCAAAATGCATTCAGAGAAAATCAAAGAATAAGCCCCTTTATATTTAAATTTGTTTAATGATACAGATGATATGTTGTAATTTATTAGTATGCCCCATAAAACTTTCTCCTATTTTTATGTGAATAATGACAATGAATGCAGTGCAGATGAAATTCCTTTAGTTCTAGTACACATATAATGCTCATGATTCAATTAATTGATTAATAGGTAAGATAATCTGCCTGATCATTTAATCCAGGACAATCCACTTAATATTTGGTCAAATCACTATTACTCCTTATAAATAGCAACAAGTGACTTTGACATTATTAATTATTTATATAAATCATTGCTATTACTGTATACCTTTTTTCAACCCACTTCTACTCAATGTAAAATAACGATTAAAGTAATAACAATAAAATTTATTTTAAATATACCTGGCTTTTTTTATTAAGAATTTTATTTTTACAGCCAGTTCAATAGTTTGTTATTTTTTAATAAGACATACATTTGAAACAAAATCGTTGAAGTGGATTAAAAATAAATACAATCGTTTTTACACTAATTTTCAATAGCATTAGGCACTGTCAACCCTTCATTGAAAATGTTTTAATAAATTCCATTTTTGAGAAAGCTAGAAAAATCAGAAAAGAAAGATTTGTTATGATCAAACAAGTTCTATTTTCAAAGTATTTTAATTTAGCAAATTACATGATAAAATAATATGCATCTTTTACTTACAAAATTTAAATTTTTACAACCTCTTTTTAAACAAAAGATATGTGTTAAATTTTTAATGTTGCATATTAAGCATCTTTCCAGTTTATAAAAATCAGACCCAAATAGTTTCATACTATTAATAATATACACAACTAAATTTACAAACCACGTTATATGTTAATGACCTTGAACCTGCATTTATACACTAGATCACAATATAGTACATGCTAAAATCTTAGAAAAAAAAAAAATATATATAAAGAAAACTTAGTCAAAGAAAACATATAGTCATTTCTGTTTAAATTTATTATTAATTTTGGTCGTACAGTTGGTAAAATTGTACTACTCTAATACTGTTGTACTTTTTCAGGGCGTTATATTTACATCAATTTATTTGAAAAACAGAAGAAGTTACAATTGTTAATTATTACCCAAAATGTGGAGTATCCCAAATGCCTGCATTTGAGACTTAAAATTTTTTATTTACATTTTAACGTGTTTATTTACATCTCCGCTTTGTTTATTTTCATTTTAACGTGTTTTTTTACATTTCCGCTTTTTTTTTTTTTTTTTTTTCCTTTTTTTTTTTTTTTTTTAGATAAGAAGAAAGATATAATAGGAATAGCATACAGTAATTTTACTCTAATATCAAATCCAAAAACTAAAAAATTATTACAAATTGTATAATAAATTTATATCCAGAATGTTAAATAATGTTTATAAAGTTATTAAATTGTTGCTAAAAAGATTTTATTGTCGCAACACAGATTTTCTGATCTTTCATACAGAACAAAACATATTTCTACCAACTGTACAGTAACAAAATAAAGAACAAGAGAAGTACTGAAATCATATCTCCTTGGTTGACGTACAGAATGCTATTTTGTTTCATTAGATTTAACAATTATTATCACTTCTCACGCCTTGGCAACATACATCCTTAAACGCTAGTATGCTTATCGCTTTATAGATGTACGACTTGCTTTTATTGGGGTATTTTGTATCCCTCTTATACTTTCTGCATCTCATTCACTGAATTCGTACTTTTCGTTATCGAAATAATGCCCCGATTATGCAATGAATTCTTAACTTATTTTTGTGGCACCATTGTGATTCACCTTATGGTTTACAGTCCAGTTATCTTCTTGTAGATTTTTCAAATGATCTTCTAGTAATGATGCCAAATTACGTCTTTTAAATCGTAATGATTCTTTCACAATATCTCGCAAAAATGCAAGTCGTATATCTAGAGTCCCTTGAATTTGGTGTAAATGTGAAAATAGTGTTTCATAATCTGAAACAAGATTATAATTATTGGTATAAATTATTTTGTAGATTTCCTTCTTCATAGACTATAGATATACATAAAAAGATAATAGAAATACGTATCCATTTCAACTTACTTGTACCTCTTCTTCGCACTTCCTTATATACAAGTTCTCGAACGGACAAATTATGTCTTCTAATATCTTCCAATTCTTTTTTCGTCAAAACTTTGTCTTTTTCTACTTTGGACTCGCGTTTTTCTTCGATATGATTAGACAATCGTTCATCAACCGAATTTTCAACTCTCACACTATTTTCAACACAATCATTAAGAGGTAGATTGTTACACTCATTCTTAACATTTTCCGTTTTCTCGGTTTTCACTTCGCTCTTAGGTGTATCAACATTATTAACTACCGGTGTTAAAGTTGGTGGAACATCCATGTGATTGTTAGTATGTTCCACTGGAATTGGTTCGAAAACTGGTATTGTTGGCATTTCTGCAAGGCCATTTACTAATTTCTCCGGCGAATTAATACACGGCGCATTTGATACACTAGGTGTAGAATTTGTTATATTTGATGAAACTTGATTCGAGTCGGCAGTTGGGGTCACTTGATTTTTCGTATCGTCAACCCATGGTACTGGCGAACTCGGTGGAGTATTCGTAGGCGTATACGACGGTCTCCGTACGACTACATCTTTAGGAATTGGACCCGGTTTTCGTTTATTTGGCGGTGCTTTCGAAGCAGGCGACCCTCCTCCATCCGATGCAGGCAAGCTACGTTTAAGACCGCCCTTGGAAGTTGAAGATGTTGCACCAACCATATCAATATCCGCTTCGTCGACCATCATTCTTTTATCTATTTTGAATGGATTACCTGGAATTTAATCACAAGAAATTAGATACTCTTTTAACATAAATGTAAACTTAATATTTTTAAATTAAAATAACTAGATTAGTTATCAAATATTTTGAACTATTACCAAACATATGTTGTCTAACTGGAGCACTTTCTATTTCTCTCAATGGTGGAGTCATACGTTTCAAATATTCTTGATAATTTCCCATTTGTGCTAGGGGCATTGAGTGAACGTAATCATCATCAAGTAATTTTGTATGCAGCAACCCAGGTTGTAGGAAGTTGGCTCGCATTCTAACAACTTGATCTAACAAAGATTTTCGTGGAACGTCGAATGCGTTCCTATAACTATGCGCACCACGTTGTTGATTTCTAATTAATCCGACTACAAAACCACCGAATTCATTTAATTGATCCCTCAATCCGGTAAATTTATCTTGTAATAATGGATGTGATACCTGAAGATTAGATTAAAAAACAATATTAATTCTGTAAGAACACAAATATTTTTATATAGTAGATAATAACAAATATTTACCAAATCTTTTTTTAAAGGAGTTCTAGGAATAACCCTCACACCTTCTGTTACTGTTGTACTACCATTCACTAAATTTTTTGTCATATTGGCAGTAGCAAGTTGTTTGGAAAGAACTTCATTACATAGTCTATCAAATTCAATTTTAGCTTGATTTTTTAATCGTTTTAAATAATTTAAGACACTATAGGATAACGAATTATCCATATTATCAGGTATTAATGTTTGAGCTAATGGTGTAGGTGCACCCATTCTAGTTAAAGCTCTCCTGAGGGACTGTAATACAAAATTGCACTATTATTCAAATTTACTAATAAAGTAATTAAATATTCTGATAATCAATTGAAAACTTACTGCTGCATAATAAGTGGGCATTGTTCTCATGTAATTTTGAAATTGTGTTCGCCATTCATTCGTTGGTTTCAATCTATGCACTTTAAACAGTTCTTCCAACAAAGGCAAAAGCACTGGATAGTTGTAAGGCATGACAAACAAATTTACGCACGTTAAATTAGTGCTTGCTTTTAAATATCCAAATGGATGACCCACTTCACTTGATTTGTAAGAATTCGCCACAAAAACTTGCCAACATATTGTCGGTTGTTTTCTGGCTAATATGTACTGCGTCAACGGACTTGGTTCTAATTCATATTTATCAAATGGAAGATTTTCTATCACCATAGGCTCTTGACTGGTGCAAGTAAATTTTACATTCGGATGTGCCGATCTAGCCGGCAAAGAACTAGCACTCAGATCAGGCCAGAAACTTTCAGGTATCGGCCAGAATCCAACCGCGAAACCTTTCTGAGCAGATCTCGGGACATAAATCAGTCTTCTACAAGAATGCCATGCTGTGTTTCCTGGTACCGTTGGATTAGGAAGATACGTCCGTGCTCCATTCGTTGTATTATTTTCATCCTCATTTTCATCGTCGTCTGCATGTTGTGTTTCGTTATTTAAAGATGGAGGATCTGGTCCAATTTTTTCGAAATTTATTACCACACCAGACTGAACCTTCTGTACCAAAGAGTCTATACATTGCATCATCATTCTAAAAGATGTTATACAATATGAACGACCTACAATGAATAATAGATTTTTTATATCAGTATTTTTATGAGCAGCAATAGAATAAATTATCTTATGAAAATATTTTTCTTTTCCTTACCTCCAGTAACTTCACACATAGCATCTATAGGAGATGAATCACTTGCCACTAAACCTGTATCTCTTTCGACAGCCGGAGTTCCAGATAAACGAAGTACCAAAGAAAATAATCTTTGATCCCATCTAAATGGCTCCTTGGTTAGTTCAGATCCGGGTATAGGAGAGTGCATTGGTAGTGTAAACTGTAATAATCATTTTTTGTTTTTCAATTATCTTTTTCATAAAAAAGGAAAAGATGGTATTTCTACTTTTTAAATACAATTAAGAAACTTACATCTTGATTAACTCCACTATTAGTCGTATATTTTCCTCCATCTGTAATCACAACGATTACTGATGGTTCCAAATAAAATGGACATCTTCCCTGTCCATATGTATCTATGCCAGTTTGCATACGATTTATGTTCAAGACATCTAAAGCATGTTTCAAAGCAGCACCTAGTGTTGTTAGCCCAACGCATTGTAAATTTTTAAGCTCGTTCATAAAAGTTGCTAAATTTTCCTTCCATCCAGCCTAGAAGAAAAGAGTATTTGTTTAGTTATATATCAAAACCAAGAGAAAACAATTTCTTCTTCAACGTAATATAACAATATAAAAAATCATATATGTTCTTATTGAAATGTCTTCCATATTGGAAGAATCTTGATCTTTATTTTTCAATTTATTTCTAAAACAAAAATAATGACAAAGCTAATGATTCAAGAAAGATACAAAATTGTAACTTATTACAAGGTTTGGAGTTCTGTCACTAAAGTTTAGCAACAATGGAGGAGAAGAAAATTATTCTGCAATAATGAGAACCTCCATGTAACATTAAATATGCAGACAATAAAGAATAGCCATAAAAAATTCACAACGTTCATTGTCAATCACATTGGTGATTTTTTAAATTCATCATTGTATCAACAATATTTACATTAACTTCTATCCAATGCATGATAATTCTTTATTGTCTCAGGATCCACTGTCATATGGAAAACTTATTTTACTTCTCTACCATTACCAAACTGGTGACAGTACCTTAATCCTTATAACAACTTTCAACCTTGGGCCATTCTTAATTGATCATCATGTTCAATTCTGAAAAAAAAGACCTACTTCAACTTATAAATAAATTTCATAAACACAAAATTGAATAGGATGGAATGAAATCAAAATTTTGTTATAAAATTAAAAGAAAATTTTTGTTGGAGAGGGATTAACAAAGCATAGATTCTAAAATTTAAAAAGGAAAGCACATGTAAGTTTGTCTTATCAACGAAATTGTGTATATCAATTTCGTAAATTTGGCGCGCACGTAACCATAAAGAAAGAAACCCTCGTGGGCAGGCCCCCACTCGCGTATTACTACCCACAATGCTGCTCTTCCGTAACCGAGGACAGAAGATACGGCAAGTGCACGCTGCACTTTGCTGCCTTCTTGCTGACTATCAATTATTCAGCAATCGAAGGGGACCAATAACATGGCAATTCTGCATGAATGCATCGATTGGTCATATAAGACAACGAATCATGGGTGCATTTGAAAGGAAAAACAGAAAAGATATTTGAGAGAAAAGATATAATTGAAAGTTTTATGCATGAGACACTATACATGGTAGTTAGCTAGCGTATGTGTGCGTGTAAGAAAGAGATGCAATGATCTTAGGAACAAGAAAAAGGGAAAAGGATAAAAAGTGTGAAAGATACGAATGTAAAAGCAAGTGTAATACGAAGAAAAACATACCTTGATATTCTGGGGCGGATCTTCGAAGGTCAGGAGCATGTAACGATCTCCACGACTCTCTGGTGATCTTTGTCTTACCTACAGAAAAAAAAAGAAAAAAGGATTAAACGATTAAAAATTACGAGTTGCAGGAAAGTAAAAGGCAGGGAGTCCGTTATTACACGTTGCTCTTTTTGACAATGGCACACGAGCTAATGATTGGGCACAGCAATCACAATTGAATCTCCCGGCCGGGAAAGCTGTCTGACTAGCGTACCTTCACGAAAGTCTCCACGGCGCTCTTGGCTACATCCAAAAGCGTGGGTCGCCCGCCCAAATATGCCCTCTGATTCATGGAGGCCGACGTGTCGATCAAAAAGACTATTATGGTCATCTTCGCGAGGCGAACCCGCTCGTTCTCGAGGTCGTAACTGCGGCCCGAGACCTCCCGTAGTCAGAACTAGCTAGCTAACAGCCCTACGACGGCGTGGCGCATAGCTGCTTCGACCATTGAACGCTCCCGAATACGCTCTCCGAAAAACTTCTTTTATCGTAACGGCGCCCGCTTCGTTCTTACTCTTTTTCGATCTCTCTCTTTCTTTTCTTTTTACTTCTCTTTCCCTCTTTTCCTATATATATATATATATATATATATATATATGTATGTATGTATGTATGTATGTATGTATGTGTATGTGTATGTATGTATGTATGTATGTGTATACGTGTATGTATAGTATATATATATTAATATGTATATATATGTACGTATTTTCCCCTCTTTCTCTATACCGAACCGAATATCTACTGCTACGTCGCGCGCCTCTGGTGCTCGAATGTGCCTAGTGAACAGCGGCACACGGGACAGCAGCTGAAACGCAGCCACGAGATCGCGAGTCGCGAGTCGCGAGTCGGACAAGTCCGTCTGCCAGTCTGTCCGCTCGTTCCTTCGTCTGTCCCTCTCTTCGTTTCCTATTCTCTCCTTCCTTTATCTTTCTCTTTCTCGCTCTCACGATATCCTTTGTCTTTTCACGTATAGTTTCTATCGTTCTCAGCCCTTCATCTCCTTCCTTACTACCGATGTATATACGACTGTCTTTCTCTTTACCTACTGTTCTTTCTTACTCTTTTAATTTAACGAGAACAAAACTTAACCTTCTCTTTCTACGTTTCATTCGTCTCTGTTGACGGTAGCTTTATCTTGCTCGTGGTTACACTGCGTCGCAAACCACGTGACTTCGTGGAATTTATTTCTATTGGCTGTTCTCCCTCCAAGTAAACTTTCATCTCTATCACTGTATGTATAAAACGCATCGTGTTTCGACATTGTATAAGTGCGTATCGAAACGCTGTTTACTTCTATCGAATAAAATAGTTGTTATATACTACTTCTACACATTTTATACGTTCTACGATCACACAGTGTGTCGTAAAGTTGGGTTTGTTTCAACTTGTCCAAATGAATAGATACATGTATGCAAGAAGAAACATAATGTTACAATTAATAGGTAACCTATTTATTTTATTTTGTTAGGAAGATTTTGCGCTGCTTTGAGTGCATATTTCTTTTTTATCTTTCTTATCTTTTCATTATAATAGTGTAATAGTATATAATGGAATGTGTGTTGTGTAATGTATGTAACCCAACATATTTTGATTTATTCTGCTTCAATGATATCAAGCAGTCAGCGAAGAAACAAACAATGCGTAAGGAATTTGCTGTATATGTTACAACGAATTAAAATAAATTGCTTTGAATCATATATATTATTGAATAATTTTTTACCCATCCATTTTTACGTTTTCTTTCATTTTAATGGTGCACTGTGTCCTCCAGTTATCTTTCATTTTTCTATTTTTACCTATTTGAAGTCTATTAAAAATTATATGAACATAATAAAACAGCTGATTCAAGGGAATAACCAATCAGAAAATAAGTAACAGTACGGACTCTAATATGGCGGGTTTCTAACTCTAAGTTAGTAGCGTTTTAGCGGTTAAATGATTTAGATAAATTGTTTTGTATTTCATATATTCTAGGCTGTAAGATATATGTATTGCGTAATATGATTTAATATTCTATAGTAGTAAGTTGTTAAGTTCAAAAGTTGTAAGAATCGTGCAAAGTATTATATGTATAGATATTTCAGTATTATTTAGTATAAATAAAATTGTACACAAAAATATGGATGAGCTAAATCCATCTAAGCGCAAAAAAGTTATCAATCTTCTAAAAAAATTTGAAGAGAATAGAAAAAATGTAAGATGATTCTTTTTTAAGAAAATTAGCAAAATATACTTCTTTGAATATTTTGTTATTTTTTAGGTATCTGAATCTATTATGACATTTAATTTTAATAAACAACGTATTAAACATTTAAGCGAATTAAATGATGTTAAAGAAAACTGTAAGGGTATCTTGTATTGGATGTTTCGTGATATTAGGACACAAGGTATATATTTAATACATAGTTCTACATAGTTCTTTCATTATTATTAGTTTATTAATAAGATTTAACATTTTTAGACAATTGGGCTCTGCTCTTTGCCCAAAAAATTGCTGTGAAAAGAAATGTACCTCTCCATATATGTTTTTGCATAATGCCAAGTTTCCTAAATGCTTCTATGAGATATTACAAATTTCTTTTAAAAGGATTAATGGAGATTGAAGAAGAATGCAAACAACTGAATCTAAACTTTCATCTTTTACATGGTGAACCAAATGAGAGTATTCTTAAATTTGTAAAAACATATAACATGGGGGCTGTGATCGTTGATTTTTATCCATTGAAGTTACCTATGTTATGGATCGATAACGTACAAAAGAATCTTCCAGAAGATATCCCTATTTATCAAGTAAATACGATTTTAATTGATGATGTAATTTACAGATAATCATTTGATATGTTAATATACATCTTTCAAAGATAGATGCTCATAATATTGTGCCTTGCTGGTATGCATCATCAAAACAGGAGTTTGCTGCTAAAACCATCAGAAATAAAATAAATACAAAATTACAAGAATTTTTAACAGAATTTCCTCCTGTTATTAAGCACCCATATTTAACAAAAGAAAAATTTGAAAACAACAATTGGGATATAACTTTGCAAGATGTAGAAGCAAGTAAGCCAACAACTGAAATTACATGGGCTAAACCAGGATATAGAAATGGTATTAAGGAACTTGAAAATTTTATACAGAATCACTTACAAAAATATGGAGATGAACGTAATAATCCTTTGTCAAATGTCATCAGTAATTTATCACCTTGGTTTCATTTTGGTATGATCTCAGTACAACGTTGTATTTTGGAAATACAAGAATATAAAGGATTGTATAAAAAATCAGTTGAATCCTTCATGGAGGAGGCTATTATTAGAAGAGAACTTAGTGATAATTTTTGTTTCTATAATGAAAAGTACGATCTTGTTGAAGGTGCCTATCCTTGGGCTATAAAAACACTAAATAAACATCGGTAATTTATTTTATTTATTGCAAGTTGTGTACATTGGATTATTGTTAACATTTTATTACATTTAGGAAGGATACAAGAAAATATGTATATTCTTTAAGTCAGTTGGAAAATTCTAAAACACATGATGATTTATGGAATGCATGTCAAAATCAAATGATAATAACAGGAAAAATGCATGGATTCTTAAGAATGTATTGGGCAAAGAAATTATTAGAATGGACTGAAATACCTGAGATTGCTTTAGAATGGGCCAATTATTTAAATAATAAGTACAGTATCGATGGTTGTGATCCGAATGGTTATGTAGGTTAGTTCTCTATCTGTCCTTCTGTGATGTATTTTATTATTACACAATATGTATATTTTATTTGTGCTTCTAGGTTGCATGTGGTCTATCTGTGGTGTCCATGATCATGGTTGGCCAGAAAGAGATATATTTGGGAAAATAAGATATATGAATTATAATGGATGTAAACGAAAATTTAATGTTGCCGAATTTGTTATGAAATGGGGAAAGAAGAAAGCTAGTGAACTTATATAAAAGCATAACCACTAATTATGATTATACAGTTATTAATTATTTATTAAAATCTATCCGTCCACATTTAATCTCTATCTTATAAAAATATATATTATATATAATTAAAGTATTTTATACCAATATATAATTTCCAATGGTTAATATTTATCAACGTTGTGCATCATTGCATAATAATGAAAGTGAAGTGGGGACTGCATCTAATGAAGTTAAAGAAAGTGCAGCAGCCTTTAGAGCTAAGGAAAGACAGCTGGTTTCATCTAAATTTTTATGAATTCCATAAATTATTCCAGCAGTAAGACAGTCACCACAACCACTCACATTGTATGTTTCTTTTGGATCATCAGAAATAAAAGATAAGGGAGGATATAGGCGAGAAGTGACCATAGTATGAGCAACCAATTTTCCTCTTTTATCATAAAAGGGATCATTTCCAAGGGCTTTACGAACGACCTATAAAAAATAATTATTAAATTCTATATTTATATTTTCTTAGATTTGTTCTAATTATTAAATATTTACCAATACTCCTTGTGATCCTAATGTACTTATAACTACTGGGATAAATTCAGCTACTTGCTCTGCAATTGTTTTTACTTCTTCTAAGTCTATAGGTAATTTGTTGTCAGGTACCGATATGCCAAGATATTTCCCAATAGCTGATAGTTCATTCCTATTTGGTGATATAAAATGCAAAACATTTTGCCATTGCGATTTTGCTTTAAATACTTTAGTTGCCTTGTTCACATCCGTGGGTTCATACCAAACTAAAAAATAAATGTCATGTTTGATTTTAATACATCATAGTTCAATTTACAAATATAATTATTTTTTAAATTTTATATTAAATATATTTTTTTTATCTTAATACACTGGATGTAATTTTTATATACTAATTGTTTGGTTTTAAGATGCTATTTAAATAATGGCGCTAAGACTAAATGCATTCCTCGCAATATGGAGCGCTGCTAGAGCGCTAAAAATTCTTCATGTGAATGGACATCTATTAATCATTTGTTTCATCGTCTCATAGACGCATACCGCATACACAACGCAAAACATAACGCATAGTGTATGTGTCACATTACCACATTCCGACTTAAAACCTAAAGCTGCTTAAAAGCAAATCTGAAAACCACGTAAAATAAGTCAAACTTAAAAACTATTTATAAAATAAAGCAATAGAATGAGTAAAACTCTAAACGGTAAAGCTGCTGTTATATGCACAGCATTTGCATTTCTTTCAATCATCATTGCATTCACCACACCCAACTGGCTTGAAACCGATGGAAAATTGGAAAATCCAAAATTTGTCAAAATCGGTAATTTGATTTACATATTTGACATATTAGTAAGAAAAATACTATTTAAATACTATATTGCCTTATAAAATGTTATTATAGGTTTATGGCAGGTATGCTTCCAAGGATTTGGAGATCCGCATCATTTGTATGACACTAAATTTTATGGTTGTTGGTGGGTGTTTGAAGAAGAATATTACATAATACATGATATACTCCTGCCAGATTTTTTTGTTGCAACACAATTCTTTTTTACATTATGTCTGACTTTATTATTAATAGGAGGTTTCTTAACTGTATTATATACATGTTGCTCACAACATCATGATAAATATCAGTTGCTTCTGTGGACAACTGGTGGAAATTTGGTACTAGGTGGAATGTGTGGTATTATTGCTGTTATAATATTTGGTGCACGAGGCGATGGTAGAGACTGGATGCCCAATTGGGAGCATAATAACATCAGCTGGTCTTATGCATTAGCTGTTATTGGTAGTTTTACTTTGGTTATAGCAGGTACATTGTTTTTGATTGAAGGCCGTAGGCACAGAAAGAAACAAGAAAGAATATTACGGGAAGAACAAAAAACACATACAACCATTTAAAGTTATAAATGCAATAATTTTTTATATTTGAGGGAAGTTGGAGGTAATAATATAAAAAAAATATTTTATACGTCTTTGTAATAAAATGTTACATAAATATGCTGTATTTATTGTTTTGTAAAATAATTTGTATGTTAACTTTGTTAACGAATCCGTCCATAGAAGAGATTTTAGATATAAGTGGCCTTAATTATGCAAGTGAATTGAAATGTTAGAGAATTATATGAAGAATGAAGTTGAATAAAGTAATTTGTTCGAAATCATATCTCCTCTTCTTCGCATTTATGTTAATTTTTCTGTTATATTTGCCTTTTTGACAAATAAATATATGCGTAAGTTGCGGATTAAAGCAAAATAATTAGGTTACAAAGGGTAAATATGGTCAAACTCTGACCCATTTTATTATCGGGGGAAATAATTCAACGTGAGTTACGACTAAGATTGCGTGCACGAAGATCGACGTCAGGTGTAAGTTGTTGACCTAGTTTAGCTCCTATTTTAATCAGCAACTTCTACAATTTCACGTACTATATCGATCACACCTGGAAATGGTGTTACTATTGGTTCCGTATCATCCTTCGATATTTAACAATATTTACGGAAACGTAAAATTATTAATAAAATGACACGTATAATGAATAGTAAATTTTAATTTCATCATGAATATTTTTTTGCGATATTGTTTTAATTTTAATGACATTAAGTAATGTGAATTGCATCTCGGTGAATCATACATAAACTGAATAGTAGAATAAGTCATATCGATTCCAAGAATTTTAATTGAAGTTTATGGATATGAATTAAACAAATTCTTTTTTATAAAATACAAAACAACAATTCGTTAGAAATCTTTTTTATCATTTTTCGGAGCTATCTCTTTAAACTTAATAGTTTACATTGATTTCGTAAATTTTTATTATTAAAAACTTTAATAGCCGAGAAAATTGACCTAAATAAGAAGAATTACATTTTAGTATTTCCGTTTCATTTACTATTTAAGATTTCGCGATGTAGAAATATGTAATTCAGTTGAAACGTCAATGACGTAATGTCGTTACTACAATAGAAATTTATAAAAAATTCTCATACTAGCAGCGTCTCCCATTTTAAGTCTTTGTTTATCATTCTATAGCATTTAAAGCACCTTTCATTAAGTATTTGAATAATATAAAGATTTTTTAACTTTAACATTATTAGATATCACGCAAAATTTTTAATGTGCTTTTTAGCAATTTTTAGCAGTTTTTAACAGTTTAACAGCATTTATCATTTAAATGTATGAATGTTAATAAATGACTATTATATCGCCTATGTTTCGTAACTGATAACAGAAAAAAGATATTTCATTAAAATTTCTTTTTTAAATATAGTTGACATATTTAAATAATATTTTAATTAGGTATTGAGAACCCTTTCCTTGTCATAACTGCTAGTTTGTACTCGTGGGATACTCACGATTTTACAAGGTTAGGTTGGATGGTATGGTAAGCTACATGGTCATCACACAACATAACGTGTTTGGGTGTGGTTAATGCCGTGGGATCTTTACTAGATCAGTAGATTTGAATTGTTTGTCGTACGCGTTGTTTTACATCGTGATCATTCACGAAACAATTTTTTCACAATGAAGAAAAGAAGCTTTTCCGGCAATGTGGGTGTCGGTGTCTTTATCGCTGCTTTCGTGTGTGTTTGCGTTGCATTTGGTACACCAGCATGGTTAGTGAGTGATTATCGTATCACTGGCGCAAAACTCGACAAATTAGGCTTGTGGACGCATTGCTTTAGATCACTTCCAAATCCTCAAGAAATGGACGCACCCAGACGCTTTTTCGTTGGTTGTAGATGGGTTTATGATCCCTTCACTGCAGGTTATTCTGATATTCGAGGCTTTCTACTACCTCGTAAGTTTCTTTTTAGCTTAATCATTCCCATTAATACTTATAAATTTATCAAAGTAACATGTTGTCATTGTATCATTAATCTTAATTTCTTTGTTACAGCATTTATGATAGCAACACAGTTTTTCTTTACTCTATGCTTCCTGTTGAGTATGGTATCATTTGTATTGATATTATTGTTCACTCTATGTTGTGATCCAGAACAGAAACGTTATGTACAACTTATTACGACAATTGGAAGTTTACTGTTTGTTGGTGGAATAAGTGGTGGACTAGCAGTAATTATATTTGCTTGCCTTGGAAATACTGATGGCTGGATGCCTGGACATGCAAACAATTTCTTTGGTTGGTCCTTTATAATAGCAGCTGTGGGTAGTATGTGGACAATTATAGCAGGAGTTCTTCTCCTCGTTGAAGCAAATGTTCAACGTAAAAAACGAGAGTATTTAAAAGAATCTCAAACAAGATTCCAGCTTGAATCTCGTACATGAGTCAGAGTATTATTATTACATGAGACTTGCACAACAATTTAGTGCTAAAATTTTGTAATGTCATTCCATCCATATATTAGCTAGTTTTTAATAATAGTATAATGTAAGATATGTTTTCTATTATTCTAGTACAAAGTATGTTATAAAACAAGATTTGTATTTTTGTTTTATATATACAAGTTTTATATATACAAGATATGTATAAATTGTATTAAGTAGGAATGAGAAGGGAACCTTTGTATTTTTATTGTTGTTTTACTTGTTTATTAACTTTTTGGAAATTAAATTATACTGAAAGTGAAAGTTAATGGAAATATATCTAAAGTTAATTATTTTAGCAAAGGAAGAGTAATCTCAATTGTATCCAATAGAAAAATTTCTTTTTTCTTGAATTATAAGAAGTTGTTATGGAAAGTTGTATAAGTTTTACAATGTAAACATTTACTGCCAATGGTCAATTTATATGTACAAGATTTGTAAAGACTAGTGTAATTTACACATATAAAAATACTAACATAATTATATGAATTAATTTAATTATTCGTCCTTGACTGTAAATTATAAAAAAATTGTTTTTAACTAAGCACAATGCATCGTTTTTGTAATATATCTTTACTTCAATAAAGATAAGATTAAATGTTGAAAATAGTTATTATTTATATATTATTTTGTTTTTGTTTGAGAACCACTGATCTGACTATAGAAAGTAGCAAATTTGCAGGATGTCAACTAAAACTAAGGTACATTACTGGTAGTGAAACGAATGTGGTGTAGCAAGTTTACGATAAATAGAATATTTTAAGGTTTAAAGAAAGAAGCAAAATAATAATAATGTCTGTTGATGAACAAGAATATTATCGCGCTTTAAGTAAGCAATATCATTTCGTAGACTTGCAGTGAGTGAAAAACATTCATAACCTCTATTAATTGTTTATTATGTATTTTTTCGCTATGTTTATAGATATCTTCTGATTGTTAAATTAATTTCATTTCAGTCCCTACTGGATTTAAATTAAAAAAAAGAGATTTTCACTAATTTTAAATATATGTAATTCTAGGAATATTATTTTGAACAGCTTATTAGATACTCATATTCTTAACTTCGCAAAAAATCAAAAAACAATTTGTTGGGTGTCACCACATTTTTTTCAAAGAATATTATGTAATTAGAAAATGATTATTGCCAGTGACTGATGGTTGTGCAAACATTTGTCACATCTGTTTTTTACTCTTATTCTTTGCACAAGTTGTGATTGTATTGATCTTAGTCCATTGGCCTTTGAAATTTGTAATGAATTGTGAATGGATGCTTTTAGCTACTGCTTTCGTGTGTTGTGTCACAGTAGGTAAGTAGAAGTTTTCAACAATATATCAGTAAAATAAGCAAAACACGTTTATGACCTTCAAATAATTTTTAAATTTCAGGTACTCTATTGTTTTTAGCAGTATCAATATTTGGAGAGCAATATTGGCATACAGACTGACTAATATAATCAAACCATAGCTATTTGTTGTGGTCATATGGTTTGGCAGTTATTTCATTCATGTCTTTCTGATTAGCTTTATGTTAACCGTTTGAGTGCCAAGTGGCGCTATTGCGTTTCTTATATCCTGTGTTAAAAAATCCCAGTGCTCTAGGTTGTGAAACCGATAATAACAGTATGCTCATTTTTTGTCGATACATGTCTTTACAGTTATTGTTCAGTCTTAGGTAAATTAAGACAAAATTTGAGTAATATTATACTTTGTAAATGTACAGGTTTTTATTCTTCTAAACAACCATTGCTGTAATAATATAATGAACTAAATTATATATAGTAGACTATAAAAAACGATAATGAAATATATGTTTATATTAACGAGGTAGTTGATGAAAAGACGAATTTTAATTTCAGTCTAACATTTGGATGCAAATATTATTGAAATTTACATAAATGCCATAAAATATCTAAATAATATTTTTATATGATTTAAACCCATTGATGTTAGTACTTATGCTCAAAAGGATATCAGAATAACATTAAACTGAAAGAAATAAGACTTATCGTATATAAACATAAAGCAGCGCAATCGCGCTCATTGGCAGTTTTAGACGAGGAATAGAACAAGCGCTATCACGCCGCCTGCCATTTTTGGACATGGAATGAAAGAAGCGCTATCGTGCCGCAATTTTTTATTGGGAAACAGCAAAGACCAGTGGCACTCAAATGGTTAAACTTAGTAATGCAAATGTAGTACATAAAGCAAAATTTGTATTAATTTTATAGTTTTATATGAAATAGTTATTATATACTGGGAGGATATATAGTATTCAAAGAAGATTTATTTCAAATCGATTTATAACTATTTTTGGATTAATTAGAAGTGAAAACTTATAAAACTGCTTTTAAAGTCATTTTTTTATGACATTGCCCTGCAATTGAGTGCGTGTTCTCAGCGACAGTATTAACTTCGCATATTTTTTTTATAAAAACCTGTATTTTTAGATAAAAAAAACTGTTCTCACATTTTTAGACTATTGTTTTATATATACTTATAAATATATATTTAAGTCTAGAATATTTTAGTAGTTATAAATGTTATTTTAGAAGTTATAAAATAATTACGATAAAAATTATCGAAATTGAAAAATCATAAAAATGTACATATCTTTCTAATTACTTTTTATTGCAAAGTTTTACATAGTAAACGTTAATCAGATTTTATATCATATACCTTGAAAGTACAATCAATATTTTATGAGATTAATGAAAAAAAGAAGAAAAAAAACTGAAATGAAGTAAAAGCTTATAAAAGTATCACCTACCTGGAATTTTTGAGCACGTTGCAAGATCCAATACGTATCGAATCGTATCTAGAGGTAGATTACCGTCAAGAACGATGAAACTCGAATTCTCCACGTACGATTGGTATTTCTTCACCAAATGCGGGCTGATACTAGAGAACACTTCCATCTCGCCGACTGCGAACCGACATTCGCCTTTGTAATCGATGATCACGGTACATCTTAAAAATCAAACACAAATACATATTTAAGAAGATAAATAAAAGACCAGTGAACAAAATATTCAAATGTACATATGTACATGTAACGCAAAAGGAAAAGATGTCTCTTTCAACGTGTGAAAGAACGAATTCGAAGATGGCAAAAGAAAAACTATTGGAAATCGGGGACAAGTGGTCTCGAGTGGTATTTACGGGGTCAATGGTTATTCCGATCAGCAATTCGCTACAGAAACCAATAACCATTAATACCAATGATGAGCTTTTACTGTCTTCGGATTCAGTATTGCACAAGAAGTATCTTATACCTCTGTTCTTTTAAATCATAATAGCGGACCTTGAACTTGATAAACGTACTCGAGTGTTCTTTTAAAAAAAATCTATAATTATTTAATCTAATACAATTTAGGGACGAAAACAAAGAGAGAAAAGAAATTATGAAAAAGAAATATTGAGTTCTCTGATTTCGTGTGAGTTAATCGATAAGAGAGAAAGAAAAAACTTATAATTGTCGAGATAATTTGGTATTAGACATAGAAGTCGATGATCTAGCATTTGCGGAAAATTGGCGGGGAAAAGCAACGCGTACCTAGCCGTGTTCATATTTGACAACTGCTCCACAGTCTGGGCACCATCTCCTAGACTTTTAATTATAGCTTTCCCAGGCTGGTCGTTACCAACGACGGATATTAACCGTGTAGCGTTCAGACCAAGGTTGATCAAGGCGTTGGCGATATTTCGTCCGACCCCGCCACAATTTTCTCGGCTTCTACCGGCATGCGTTCTACCATCGTCCTGAAAGAATACGTCGATTATTGATCCGGAATATGGAAAAGATGCGCCGCCTCTAATCGCGCGTCGAATACTACGGAGCTCGATTGATCGATCGTCTTTGAATTCTACGTGATAGCGGTAAGCGATCAGAAATTAAACTTCTTTTCCGTTATTTTTCTTTCATTTCTTCTAAAAATTAATTCTTCTAACGGAAACAGACCAAAAGTCTTTCTTTACAAAATAATATATACGTATAAAAAATAGTATTTAATTACGGAAAAAAACAGAAACGGTAGAAAAGAACGGTTGAAAATGGGTACGCAACTGAGTTGTAAATAAATTATCTTCAAGAATGCATAACTGGAATAATAACAAATATCTTGTTTCGTGTATTATTCTTTTAATATGCTGTAATATAACTTTTGGTTATTTTACAGTATGATTAGGCTTTATAAAGTCGTTGTCGATCGTGACTAAATCCATAACACGTGTCGTCTCGAGGACATCATGTTCGATGGATTAATTTTCCCCAGTTCAATGCCAAGAATAAATAAAGAAAGCAAGAAAAGCGGGAAATTTTTCAAGGAGATCACTAGCTCGCACCTGTACGCGTACGTTTCCTTCCTCGTCACAACGATTCAATTACGAGGCAAGCATTCTGTCCGGAGGTACTTGCAATGTCATCGAGCAGAAAGCTGCTACTCGGGATTGATGCAGCAACCTCTGCATAAAACAGAATCTCCTCTTTTACATTATTTTATTTCATTTGTATTTTATTTTCTCAATTTCCTCTTTCTTTTTCATGGAGTAATTTTTTTTACTCTTCTGATTATTACCTGTGTACCCGTTTGCATCACGAGTCTCTTTTTCCTTTTCTAACGTTCTCTCATTTACAATTTCAGCTGGCTCTCTTAATCATCTCCGTTCGCTTCGCTTATCTTGTTCGCGCACCCTCCGCATCGGCGTACTTTCCTCTTATTTTTCCTCTTATCGTACGATTTACCTTTCTCGCTCCACTCTTCATAAAATTATCCTTGCCAGCTCTCGTAGTTTTTCACGGGCAGCCTCCTCTTTCCTCTCGTGAATTTTTTTATCTCCTTTTCGCTGTACTTTTTTCGTTGTCGTTCTTCCATCTCGTATAACTTTCTCTTTCCAAACTCTCTCCCACGTACAATACCGCTCGCTTTCTCTACGAGCTTTCTCCCCTCCTTCCGACAACATTTTCCCCTCGTTCCTCTTCTTTCTCTATTCTATCCTATCCGAAGCTTTTATCCCCTCCATTTTACTTTTAAATTCTACAAATCGTCTTCTCTCTTTTCAAACAACTTGTCCTCTCCCTCCATTGCTTTTACCCTTGTATCGCATTCTCCGTATCTTTAGAGATATTCCAATTATTCTTTTCTTTCTTGTACCTACGACTCGTAGCCTTTGTTCAATTCCTTCCCATTTCCCACTTTTCCGTCCTCCTTTCATCAAAGTTTCTCCACTCGTTTCATTTCTCTCACGTACTCTTCCTACTTTCCGACCAGTCTCTGGCGAATCTACTTACAACATTAACCTTCTCGTCCCGTCTATTCCCACAGATTTCCAATCTCCTGCCTCCCTCATCCTCGCCGTCTTTCCTACCGCCCACTTCTCTATCCTCGCACTTCCTCCCTTCCATCGCTATTCTGTCTCTTTCTTGTCCAAATACCCTTCACCCCTCAGAACACGTGCCACCGCAGATTTTCCACCACCGCTGTCTCTCTCAAAGCCACATTTCCCCCTCTTACAATCCATTCCTACCAATCCTCGTCCACCCCCAACGAGGTGCTTTCTCCCCTCCAGCGCCAGCCTTTCTCTCGCACACGATCCACCTC